GCACTGTGAGGACGAGCATCTCCAAAACAGCCGGGGGACCCACGACAGCAATCACATAAATCACAGAGATGTGATGGGAGACAGCGGCAGATCAAAAGCATCAGCTGACAAAATCTGCACAGAAATCGAACATGCTTTATTGGTTCAATTTACCATAGCAATTAATTACCTAGCGCTTATCTAATTAAGTAGAGCTTTCATCTACCATTCCCAGAGGCCAACAGCAAACACCAGATTCTGCCCCTCCAGCCGCTGCCTAAAATATCTTCCAGGACAACATCTCGTGTCGCGTCAGGACAGGCAGCAGAACCAGTATCTCCTGTGGGTGTCCGGGCGGGCTGACCCCACGGACCAAGCCCTGGGGGCCAGCGGGTCCATTCCCGAGGATGAGATGAGCCCTGGACACGAGGACATGACCCCAGCACACACGTGTGTGGGCCACGTGCCCGCCAGCCATGGGGTCAGTGCCCCGGCACGAGCGGGGCCGAGGGGACACGCCTGCGGGAACAGCCAATCTGGGGGGAGTGGGCGAGGAGGAACGGTGGGCACCCCGGGGCAGAGGGGTTGATCTTGGGAGCCACACAAAGCCAGAGGGTATTTAACCCCCTGCAGAGCCCCTTCAAACCTCTTCTGAGCTCTGAAAGCCAACAGCTGAAGAAATAGCGGGAGTTTTCCTTGGGGTGTTTTCCTTACCTCTCCCGCAGAGCATCGCTTTCAGCTGGCTCTGGTGCAGCCACTATGACCGAAACAGATTACTCGGGGTGAGTAACAGGGGAGGGTTTGAATTTTTTTTAACAAGACAAGAAAAATGTTCTCCGGGTTTTGTTTAAGCCTTATTTATAAAATTGACCTGTATTGTTACTCAGCTGCTTTCCATTTATTAAAGCAGGTGGGCAGGGAAGGCAAACTGGCCTCCCGCCGTCTGCAGGATCCGAGTCCAATTTGCACTTGTACCGCCAGGCAGTTATCGGGGACAATATAAATACAAAATGCTGGCTTGCTAGAAGCTTAATAAGCTGTCACACACAAAACAGCACAGTACGTGACCTGCTGGATGTTTTGGGTGGAACTACATGAAAGAGCGAGCTAAGGTTGCCATTGACAAAACTGGTGATAAATACCAGGAAACATTTTTTGCCAAATGCACTGACGTAACAAAGAGCTGTCGAAGAAGCTACTGATAGCGATGGGGTCTAGGAGGAGGACAGCTTGTGTGACAGCAGGGCTCTGCCAGAACGGCAGCCACACAGAGCTGGCTCGTCCCTGTCCCTGTCCCATCCCTCCCTAACACAGGCTGTGCACGGGGGTCCTCGTCCCACCCCCATTCCCACAGGACTGCCCTGACCCCGCTGTGCCCTGTCTCCCTGCAGCACGGGGCTTGTCCATGTTAAAAACCCGCACCTGGACTCGCTGGAGGAGGATGTTCTGTATCACTTGGACTTGGGAACGAAGACGCACAACCTGCCGGCCATGTTTGGGGACATCAAGGTAAGGAGCAGGTGCCAAAGCTGAATGGCAGCTCCCGGTGCCGCAGGGCTCGCCAGGGAATGCTGCTGTGGACGCTCCTGCTGCAGCTGGCTGCTTGGCGAAGGGGCTCACCCTGCCGGGGCTGGGAGATCACCTGTCCTTGCTTGTTTTGGGCAGAAATCCCAATAGGAAATTACCCTTTTAAATACGTGTAGTTCCACAAAACCTGGTTTTATATTAGCCACCACATTGGAGACCAGATGGAGGAAGCATTTGTCTGAAGCACCCGATCACTGTCTGCTGCAGATAAGGGAATGAGGATGCCGGGCTGGGGGCTGAGACCTGCTGTCAAAGCCAGCCTATCACGAGCGCATCCTCTTCCCTCTTAAATTGGAGCATTTCTGCAGGGGCGTGGGGGAAGAGCCACAGTGCCCCAGTGCTCGAGCAGCCCGGCACTCCCGCTCCCGGGCCGCCGGATCGGCAGCGCTGCCCTTGCAGCCGCATGCTGGTCCCCCTCCTATGTGCAGGGAGCGTTTTTTCCTTTAATATGTAAAGTTCGTTCATTTTCCTCTCCAACTTGACAGCTTCTGTGTCATCAGCAGCGCTCGCTAATTGCAGTTGGCACTGCCGATAGAATAAATTAAATGATGAGCTACTCTGACATCTGGTTTTGCTTTGCTGTCAGTAGGAATACTAACAGCTTAAATCTGCTGAATTGTTTTAGATTTTCTTGGCCTGGGCCTGATACCCAAGCATGTGCAGCTGTACAGCTGCCTGGACCTAGTGTAGGCACAACCCTCGTGGAATAACAGCTTGGGTTTAGCGTTATCTCCTGGTTTTGGGAGCCTCAGTTGTTCTGATGTCCCTCGACCACCCACAAGTAAGTGGCACCCCGCTGCGCTGCGGCACAGCTCTGCACTGCCACAGCAAGACTGAACCTCAGTACCTATTTCAGCTAAAAAGCACCAACGTGTTCTTACTTTACATCCAGTTTGTCTGCGTTGGTGGCAGCCCCAACAGGATGAGGGAGTTTGCCCAGTTCATGCACAAGGAGCTGGGACTGGCGGGCGATGAGGAGGACCTGGCGGACATCTGTGCGGGGACGGACCGGTACGTTATGTACCGCGCCGGGCCCGTGCTCTCCATCAGCGTAAGTAACTCATCACACCACATCACACCACACCGCATCGCATGTTTCCCGTCACGGGCACCCCCGGCAGCAGGGAGACTGGTCGGCACAACCTCTCCCTCCTGCAGCACCCACCGGCAGGTTTTGTTTCCTCTCTTCACAGTTTCCAGCCACTGTCACCAGCGCAACCTTTCAGCCATGGTAAAGCTTCTTCTGTTTCAATGATATTTCTTGGCACACCGCATGCTGGGTTTAAAGAGCACTGTATTAAAAATGACAGGCACGTATTTGCTCAGCTCAGCAGCCTGGTGATTTGAGAGGCAAAGACCACTTCCCACCATGCGTGAACTACGAAATACTGCTGGAAGTATGACACTGACATGAGTGCTAACATAAAAACCTCGCTTTGTTATTAATTATTCTTTCAGAGCATAATTTTTGGCACTGCACAAAGGAAAAAGGAAACAGAGGCTGTGCTGGTGAGTGCCCATACCCCAGGGCTTGGTCCTGCCACCACAAGATTAGTCTTAAATCTGATTCGCAGGAGACAGCGTCACTCACACGACAGGGCTCACATTTGGTCCCACTGACAAAACCAAACCAAACTCGACTGACGGAAAAGCCCGAGGGAATCAGTCTGACAGGATCCAAGGGGGAAAGAATCCCACGGGTTTTGCCAGTCCCCTGTTGGGCAGCAGTTGTGACACAGCTCAAAGAAGAGCCTGCGCTGAGCTCTGGGCCATGCAGCAGCGTGTGCCAGCGCCGAGGCCACCGACCCCTGGGCTCGCTTCTGCGAGGAGCTGCAGGGCAGAGCATGCAGCAAGCCTCCCCCGAAATGCTTCGTGCAGAGCAGCTGCCAACAGCACATTTTTGCAAGTTGCTTGGAAACACAAATGAACTCAAACATACCGGAGGCAGGAACACGGTTTCCTGCTTTGAATATTTACAATGAGAATGAATTTTTTTAGACATTGGCAAATAAGTCAGGCTGATGTTCCAGAATAACAACATGCAAAAAGATTTCATATTTAAAACATGATACAAGCCTAATAGACCATCAGTCTCACAGCCTAACGGAAAGAGACACAGCAATACAGAAACTGACTGCGTGCATTAAATTAACTGTTCTCCTTTACGTGTGCTTCCTTCAGGTTTTTGAATATGATAGCAAAACCAAAAAAAATCAAGGCATTTTTTGTGGGAAAAAGCAAACCCCACACTACCGAACACTTTTTGTTTTTAAAGGTAAAGCTGAGAAAAGGATGTTGGCTGACCGATGGACCAGAAAACTAAGATGATGGCGTGAGGGAGCGCTGGGCAGAAAGCAGAGGCAGCTTCAACAGCTCACGATTTGCAAAACATCTGCCAGCCCCGAGGAGCAGCATCAGGCAGAGCAAGGGGACGGTGCCAGCGAGGGCAGAGCCTGCCTGCAGTCGGGTGGCTGCTGGGCACGGAGCGACACAGGGGCGGGTGATGGAGCAGGGAGGGGGACGGGTGGCCTGCAAGGTGTGAGGCTTCGCGTGGCAAATGCCCAACCCCAAAACCAGTCCTCGACGAGGGGCACGAACCCACCCGTCGTCCTTCGCGCCTAGCAACGCAGGCAGAGGTGCTCGGTGTGGGGTGAGGAGGAGCTGGGAAGCTCTCAGAGGCACGGAGCCTTGGGATGTCTTCACTGAAACTCACCGCTCCAAGAGTACGAGCAGGACACACCAAAGAATGGAGTCAGCACATGGCGTAACGATGGGCAACACAAGGGGAAAGTCTCGAAGCCTTCAGACAGTGGGATGCGTTTGTGGAGACATTTCTCAAAGGCGAAACAGCATCTGCATGCCTGATACATTGGTCCCCAGGGCTCTACTGATAAAAGCAGTCTTAAAAGTGCCAAGGAGAGGAGGAGAGGGTTAGACACTTTACCTGGACAGACTACAAAGACCCTCAGACGCCCCTCCCCTCTCAAAAAATCACTGTTGACCTCACCAGTGGAATCAGCACAACCCAGAGCTCACTGTGCTCACGTACTGTCCCCTGCTGCAGCATCACAGGGAATGACGGTTTTTCTTTTCTCTCCTCCCAACAGCACGGGATGGGCATCCCTTCCATTTCCATCATGCTTCATGAGCTAATCAAACTGCTGCACCATGCAAAATGCCGAGACGTTACTATTATACGCATCGGTACTTCTGGAGGCTTAGGTAAGCTATCCTTAGTTTTAGTTCAGACCAAAAAAAAAAAGCTAATAATAAAAAACATTCTCAGCAATAGGTTGTGCAATTATAAGCTTTAGCATTTTGCCAGGTTCCCAAATAGCAAACAACACGATATTTTGTTGAGGGTTAAAACCCAGCAAACTCCTAGCAACTGGCTTAGCAGAGTACATGTTTTCATCACAAACAAGGGCTTCAAATTCACAGCTGCTGGGAACCGCTTTTCAAACAGAAAGCCCTCGACTGGAAGTCACTCTCGTGCCCGGGATGCCCCTGGCTGTGCCGGTGCCCGCAGTCCCCGCGCTGGTGGGACGCCCGGCCGGGCAGCGGTGCTGCTTGTGCCACAGAGGCCAGTGCTGGGGCCTG